CACACACACACACACACACACACACACACACACAGAGAGAGAGAGAGAGAGAGAGAGAGAGAGAGAGAGAGAGAGAGAGAGAGAGAGAGAGAGAGAGAGCCCTAAATTCTAAGGGCTGTACAGAGCCTAGAGTCTAGAGACAAGGGGAAACACTGTCTGTATACATACATCTGATTCGTTGGTTTGTTACTTGACCAATAGCAAAATTCTGTGTACGCCTAAAAACCAATCAATTCCATATTTCTTTAAGGTGTCTTCTTTCCGAATTTCTTCTTTCTTTCGGATAATGGTGGTCGAATGCCGTCATGTCCTGTCACGATTTAGAATTTAGAAAATAAGAAACATACGTACATATACCATACACGCTCGGCCGAGCAGGAGTGCATTTTCTATATATGCACGTATACCTACCTACATACATAATAAACACACATGTAGCACACGTAAATCATATGAGTGTAATACACGGTTCTATATTCTTCGTGTCTGTGTGCTTATACACTTTGCACCGGCGTGAGTTGCCGCTTGGTTGCCGTACATTATCGTAACGTGTAACAGCAATAGCCAACAGAAGCGTGCAAAGCAGTGCAAAGCGATCGACGAAAGCGAGGAACCGTTCCTTCTACATAGGTACATATTTTCTAGTATCTAGTACGTTTAGAAGAACGGGTGCTATAGTTGAATATATTTCGTTTTAAATTCATTCTTTCGTTTGTTCGTCGACAATTGTTTTCATAGATGGCTTCAATCGAAGAACTGGATCAACTCGACAGCGGAATGGATAGTAGCGACGCACGTTCTCCAGAGGTGAAATCGCTTCTTCCCGATGACGAGGATGACGAGGAGGTATATTATATTTTACGGATTTTCGGTGAATGTTACGAATTATTTACTTCAATCCATCATCAAGTCCTTAACGTTATCAAGAATGTTTTCAATTTTTTTTTTTATTTCGTTTCTCTTTCTCTTCTTTCCTTTTCTTTTTTCTTTTTCGCTTTTTACGATATTTAGCCAATTTCCCTCACCGACCCTGTTAAATTTATTACCATTTGTTCGATTACAATTAAAACTTGTATTTCCGTATCTCTCATATGAACAAGCAACAGAGAGTATCAGAGTTGACCTTTTCGTGAATTCGTTTTCATTTAGGATGAAAGTCTTGCAGAAAGGTTATTGGGTCTCACAGAAATGTTTCCTGACGAAGTACGTAATTTCGGGTACAATGTTGGCACTTGTTTCTATAGCTGTATGAAAGGTTAGTATACACATTTTATACTTTTCGATGCTTTTCTTACTTTCAATGAAATAGGAAAAGGAAGGATTTCGTCCATTGTATAATTTCTGAATTCCTTGCTTCCAGGACTATACGCTTTCTCGTGTTCTACAGCATGGTTATTCTTCAGCTCGTCCGCAATTTTATTTGCACCCATATTATTCGAGATAGAGCGTGCACAAATGGAAGAGGCGCAACGTACCCAGCAGAAACAAGTCCTCTTAGGACCTAATATGGCTATGTCTAATATGACCTCGGGTCTTCCAATGGCTCCACCGGTGCAACGATAATACAAATATTAATGCTGCATTCGAATCGTCAAGAGTGACAGTTCCATTCATCGTTTATACTTATTAGCATAACAATTCCAATGTATTTTAACCTTCCACCGTATAACCTGAAGCAAATAAGGATTATCAAATATTTCTCTTTTGGGAGTATAAAATTTGAACATACCAAATGGTTAATCGTTAAGCAATAATGATGGTATCGCTCGTTATTTCTTTTGAGATTGACAATGAATTTGTACAGGTAGGATTTATCGGCACTTTATTGTGTCATCTACACGAAAGGTGAATCTGATTATATTAAGGATTCTCAACGGTATCTCTTATTCGTTACAAAATAATTGTAAAATTTCAATAATTTTGTATCACGAATATGCTTTTACTAGGTATAATAATTAAATCTCATATTGTTATCATTTGTAGCGTATCATTTTCTTGTTACTACTAATACTGTAATACACAAAATGTAATAGTTTAATCACATGGTCGAAAACGAGATATAAAATACATAACTGCAAACTGCAAGATTTTTGTTTGGAAAACAAAATAATGCCTCTCTACGCGAGATATTAATAATTCAAATGTTTAGAACGAAAGTGTATTTGATAAGAAATTGAAATTCTTTTTGTTTTTCTTTTTACCATAGATTATGGTGTATCCGATATAGGCTATCGAATAGCAACAGTGCATGTCGCTAGAGGAAGCAGCACAAAATCTCGTTGTGCGTTCGTAATCAATCTTGCCACTTTTGCTATTAAATGTAGATGCACTACGAACCTCGACAAATATCACTGAACCCGTGCAATTGTAGGTTCAAATTTATATTAAACATCTATAACTTATAACTCTTCTATTAAAATATTGCACTTCTCTGTATCGAGAGTGATAAGATAATGTAAGGATATTGATCTTTGACTGCACCAATAAGAAGGAAATATCTTTTTTGTAGCTACATAGTTTTGTTGTAGAAGCGATGATAGAATATAACTATGTTAATAAGAGTACAAATCGTAATTGTGTACCAATTCGGTTGCATTGTTTTTCAATTACATAGTAATTCAACTACGTTTCAATTTAAATCCTGACTATCTTAATGACGAGTGTAATTCAAATACGATTTAATTGAGATATAGTTGTTGGAATTACAGTTTATTTTTGTTTGAGACATTACAAATTCATAAATAATAATCACAATTAATTAAAATGCTAACTATTTTTGTAACATTCGATCATCTCTGATATAAGAGGGAATTTACAGAATAAAAGATTACGATTTTACTTGCTAATCAGTAGTTATAAATAGTTTGTTTTTCTCTCTTCTCTGTTCATCTCTTATCTATTATTCTTATTACTCATTTAAACTAGAATAAATGATAAGAAAATAAGTACAGATTGAACGGTATGTCAACTTTAAATACATTCGGAACCCTTGGTTTATTTTTATTATGCCCTAATTGTACCATAATTAATGTTTCTTCTCTTCGTTTTCTTTTCTGCTGATCCTACATGGTGCATAAGTAACCCCTTTCGTGGAGAAAAATGATGCTCTTTTCGATGACCGTACATTTATTCGAAGATTCGGTTTTCAATCGATGAGAATTTATCCGACGAATAAAGATAATTTTTTTTTTCTTTATAGCGTCGAATGAAATTTTTTATATTTTATCTGTACGTGTCCATCTATTCTAGCCTAGAAAAGGAAACTGACAACTTTTGTCTTTTCTTTTTAATTTCTTGAAATGTAGAACAGACCAAATAAAACTAATTATAGAACAGTAATGTGCGTGGAAGGAGCAATTATTTAAGACAAACTAACGGGAAGCAATTAAAATTACTGTTAATCCCGTATGCTTTGATTGTCTATTCGATCGTTATTGTTCATTCTTGTTATCGTCATTATTATGATCATTCCAAGCGATCGATGTAATTATTGCCACTGCAGTTGCGTTTCTGTTTATTGCGGATCGTTATTATGATTATTACTATCGCTACGATGATAACAATTACTATTGTAATCGAATAAAACGTTCATCACGAAACGTCTAAATTTCTTTTTCATTTTTAGTCCGATTGGCATAAGCGGCGCCTCTGGCGAGGAAAACCGAAGCTCAGTTCCCCACGTGTAACGTGTACAGTGTCAATTTGTCTAACGTCAAAACGCCCAAACTGTTGGACGATCGGTTAAATTTGTCGGTAAATTTGATTAACAGTTTCGGCGTTTTATCGTTACACCGATTATCGTTCTGGGAACATTGAACAAAGCTTCGTCTTTTCTACGAAAGTGGCGCCAAGATCGCCTACATAGATTTGCTTCGCATATACGTATAATGTTTTTAAATAATTTTTTTTTAATGAAATCGTTGTAGAGATATCGCATCGATATCATGCGAGAAAAACAAACATCAACGCTTCTTCTCTTTTTACGCTTCATTAATTTGTTTTTCATACTGGAATTATCTTCATCCTCCGATTCTAAGATCATTCTTTGGTTTACATTCATGGGTCTTATTTCTCTGTAAATTTATTTAAAATAAAATAAAATTGTCATAAAATAACATTGATTTATTATTTTTTCTTACCTATATCACTATCCGATGTGAATATGAAATTATCCA